GATACTGTAACACAAGTACCTTGGTTGCACAACAGAGTAAGCAATGGGCTGTTAACCACAAAGCCAGCAGTTCAAAGATAAGGCTGTCTGCTGCTGTACAGATTTATAATTTCAGACATCCTACATAAGGTGGACACTATGAGTCAGAATCAACTCAAGGGCAGTGGATTTGGTCTTGTCCTGATATAGTGCTGTAGGACAAGCACTGGATTGCTAAACACAAGGTTTGTGGTTCAGACCCACCAGCTGCTCCTTGGAAACACTATACAGGGTCGCTATGAGTTGGAACCAACTCAATGGCACACAACAACACATAGACCTACCTCCTCATTTATTCATGCCATTCAATGCCTCTGCTCATGGTATTCCTTAAGTGTCTGCCCCAAAATTAATGAATAGCATTTATACATGCAATAACCTCACCTTACTGTCATTTAAACCTGTGAAGCTTAAGTAACACAACACAGAACTCTCCTTGTTCATAAACACTTTATGGGTATGGGGGAGGCAGCCAATTCTGCATGGGTTGAAGAGATGAGTAGCTTTCTTTTAAGACTTACCCACAAATGCTGGCAAGCTTCCAAAGAGTAATAACAGTTGTTACTGCCCAAATTAAACTTTGAACCTGTGGTTTCAAACACCCAAAATATTCTTTATTACTAATAATCTAACACTTCATGTCCATTATTTTAAAACACATTGGAATAGCAAAATCTAACATTTTCTATAATAACAAGTTTCTAATTTCTTAGTATTCATCAACATTTTATACATACATACATACATACAAATACTTCACACTGAATCTCTTTTAAGTTGAATTTTTGCCCATTTTGTTGCTTTTTAAATTTTTACTTGGGAATACTATAATAATGCATTGATTACTGATAAAAGAGACACCAGTATACTAGGAAATCTAAGGGCCTACTGCTTGAATTCATCCAAGATTGCTAGAAAACAGTCACACTGTTTTGATTCTTTCTACCTATTTTCTGCTTTATCTCTGCTGATTTGAGAGATAGAAAAGGGGGGAATGCCAAAAGGCACAAAGAGGTGAAACAGATGAGTTTGAAGAATCCATTAAAAGAATGAACACTGGAAAAACAATGATCAAACCAGTTCTTTCCTTCTAAATTTGAATATACACTGAGTATTAAATTTCTAGTAAAAATTGCTCTTCACTACCAATAACAAGAACTTCCATTTAACCTCTACAACCCTCTTGTCCCTGAATATATCAAGTTTCATCAGTTGCTCCAAGGCTAAACCTATACCTATCCTGTCTACAGGACCTTGTTACATTTAAAGCAATTTTAGGTTAACTGGCAATGCGATCTCTGTCCTTGATTCTAGCATTTGAAGGCCTACCAAAGAAAGCCAAGGGTTGTTGTTGTTGTTATGTGCCATGGAGTCGGTTCCGACTCATAGAGACCCTGTACAGGGTTTCCGAGGCTGTAAATCTTTACGGGAGCAGAAAGCCTCATCTTTCTCCTGCGGAACAGCTGGTAGTTTCAAACCTTGTGGTTCGCAGCCTGATTCGTAACCACTACACTACCAGAGCTCCTTATTGTACATTACATAGTGAAAATATACCATATAACAAAGCTATAGAAAATCCACCTCCAAGGAAATTCCATGGAGCAGAATAGGGGAAAAATTTAAATATGCACAATATAATTTCTTAAAGACACGTTGTACCTAAAGATAGTTCCTTTTTAAATAATATGTACAATTTTGATTGCTCTGCTACTATTTTTCTGTTTAATGACAATGGGGTATTTCTTTTTCAATTCTGTCATATGACAAGTTTCAAGGAAAACTAAACATATAAATTTATAAACTTTCAGGTAATATTAAGCAAGTTTTCTACACTGCAGTAGACAAGAATCTTCTTCCTTTACCTTACATTCAAGCAGTAGGTAAGAATCTTCTCCCCTTACTTTAATACCTTAGCTAAAGGAGTAAATTACTTTCCACAGTGAAAAATAAGATGCATAAAAGACTGCTTCCTAAAACATATACTGCTTCTTAAAGGCCCTAATATGATTTCAGATAAGACAGTATAAATGCTAGATTATCTCAACACTAAGTTTAGCAAAACAAACTTGAAAGAAAACAGAAACATCATAAATAGTAACTTTCAAAAATGGGAGTAACTTTTGTCTTTTTTAGGGGGGGAGGAGAGTTCCTAACGTCATGATTTAATAAAAGTTTTGACCTTTCAATGTGAATACTTTTAGAAAAATCTTTGAGAGAGCAAAGAAGACAGCTGCCCTAAGCAATGAGGCTTAGTCCTATACAGCATTTATACAAAACTGAATATATACTATGGGCAATGTTTTGGTATACATCTAAATACAGTGCCAACCTGCATTAAATTTATAATTTGTGATGGAAGACTGATCAGGAGCTGAAAAATCTATGTTAAGAGTCTCACTTCCAATGTGGTGTTGTAGGATAAGTACTGAATTGCCAACCACAAGGTCGGCAGTTCAACCACACCAGTCACCTATTGTCGTTGTTAAGTACCATGGAGTCGGTTCTGACCCTGCATAGGGTTTCTGAGGCTTCAAATCTTTACAGGAGCAGAAAGCCTCATCTTTCTCCCACAGAACAGCTGGTAGTTTCGAACTACCGACCATGAGGTTAGCAGCCCGATTTGTAACCACTACGCTACCAGAGTCACTTATCAGAAACCTTACAAAGGATTGCTATGAGTCGGAACAGACTCCAAAGCACTTAGCAACAAAAGTGTAGCCTAGGACCCAAGATCCTCTAAACGAGCTGATCTTTAAGGTTCTTTTCAGGCATGAGACCAGTTCCATAGGTCTTCCAGGGATTTCCTTAATTCATCAAACATTTATTATGCACCTCCTGTGTCCTTGGCTCAGATACTGTCTTCTGCCTCACTGGGTTTACATTTTAATTGTCTCAGTGATACATTAGAAAATAAGTACTTAAATCAAAAGCTTAGATAATAAGAATTATTATTTTAAAGTAGTTTATTTGAGTTGTTGTTAAGTGCCATCAAGTTGTTTCCGACTCATAGCAACCCTGTGTAGGGTTTCCTAGGATCAGCTGTTGAGTTTGAACCACCAACTTTGCAGTTCAAACCGACCTTCTGGTCCAGTGTTTATCCTATAGCACCACACCAGGACTCCTTTATTTGGCTTAGAATCCATAAAGTGATGCATTTATGAATTAGTATAAAACACTTCACATTTGATATGGCTCATAAAGTAAGAATGGTATTAAAAGATTTTGTTTAATAGAAATATATTTGACCTGTTGTTACTGACATACCCTTTAATTAAAACCAATTACCAACAAATTTAAATGCCTTTTCTAAACAGTAAAAATAAGAAGGCCCATCCAAACCGAAATGTATGATAAAATCATTCTGGGGGAGGGGTAAATCTTAGTTCAGTTTCTAACATGAACACATGACAACTAACAGCAGCTTGTGATGATCCATTCTTGTCAACTCTTAATCCTTCTGACTGAGGAAAAACATGAGACATATTTATTTATAAGTATATGCTGGCTTCCTTATTTCCACTTTTCTTTGTAAAATTGTATACAATTCATCAGATGCTTAAGAATATACACTCACAAACAAAATGCTAGCTCTCCCATCCCCCAAAAAAGATGAGTTGACAATACTGACAGCAACAACATTAAACCCTAGAAGAGATCAACAATAAACAAATGACAATAATGCAAGGTACATAATGGTCTTATAGTAACTGAAACTTCACGGACTCAATGTGGTGCTTCCTATTTGTTGTTATTAAAGTGCATTCCAATCAGTTCCACAGCATAGTGAACCTGTATAGGGTTTCCAAAGAGGCTGCTGGGTTTGAACTGTCCACCATGCAGTTAGCAGTCCAGTGCTTATCTTACAGTGCCACACCGAAAGTAAAAAGTAGAGTTGCTATTCATAAGGATGGGAGGTAACACTTCCAAGCAGGTTACAGGTGGCCAGGCTCTGCAGGGGTAGCTTTCACTTAACTCTTATCAAGAATTTCACACACAAAATCTCCCAAATTGGGTAGTCGTCCACAAAATGAGAAGTCCACTCCCCTCCATAAAATGATTCCAACAGTCTAGGAGTGTATTCTAAAACAAATACACTGTTGATATAAATATCTAATTATTCTGCTTCAAATCTTATTATTTGAAACTAGGAGTAGTCTAGGTCACCTAGACAACGTGTTCAGCAAAAGGACAATGAAACTTCAGCTAGACAAGATAGGACCTCCAGGAAGGTCATCATTCCTGTTCAGTGGCAGATCAAGGATCAAACCCAGAATTCCCGCATCCCCAGACCACCCTGCTTGTAAATGTTGAGTGAAATTTGGGAATTGATTTTCAACTCCTCACTAAGTTACTGAACACGCGCCTACTCGTACATCTATTAAAATCATCCTAAAACAAATGGCCCAGAATCCCTGGTCATTTGCCATTTTCTATGGAACGATTTCAAAGTCTATTGATAAACAGCAGTCTAAGTTTGAACATTTGCCTACTTAGCTACCTGCTGTCCTCTAAAGGATCCCAGGCGGAGAGGGCTGTGGTGTGTGTGTGTGCGCGCAGCGAAGGAATCGGGTCGCTAAGGTGAAGATTTCCGCAGAGAAAGCCCCGCGTGGACGAGTCCCCTGGGCAAGCCCGGCGGAGGATGGACGGAGGATGAATGTGCAGTAACGAGGATCCCGCGCCCTTCCCTCCCGGCCATCCAGCCGGGCCGGTTCCGAACACCGGACCGTTATGGGGTAGCTGGGCAGCCCCTCCCCCACCGCGGCCTGGCACGCCGGCCGGCGGGCCCCACACAAACAATACCGAAGCTCCCCCACGAGACCCAACGCCGACAACTCGCGCCACGGGCCTCTCACTGCAGGCCGCGGGAGGCAAACGCGTGTGACTTGGAGGGACGGAGACACAGAGACAGAGAGAAGGCGGTTAGTCAGGGGCTTCGGAGGCCGCCGGCCCCAGACCTCTACCTGGCTCCAGGTGATAAACTCATTGGTGTGGGCTTCCTCCACGAGAGTCCACAGCTTGCTGAGAAAAGCCGGCACATTCGAACTCTGCTTCATTGTTAAGCAGGAGCTGGGATTCCAAATTCTACACCCGAAAGAGAGGTCTCGGTAGCAGCGACGGTGGCAGCTGCTCCCCAAGAACATCTACAACGCAGGCGCAACAGCTCTCGGAGTCCCGCCCCCCAGCCCCGCCAGGCGCTCAGCTAGGCTGGGAGGCCCTGCGGCCGCACGTGACAGACGAGTCTCTTTGCGCACAGCTCCCGCGCCGGCCCCCTTTCGGGCCAATCCCAGGCGCCGACTACCTCGATGGAGAAAAGCGATTGGATACTGCTGCAGTGAAGGAGGTAGGCGCATCTGAGGGCGCTGCCTTTTCATTCGCGTTTTTTATACAGGGCCTCTGTTTAGCGGGCCTTCGATTTTAGGGTGCAGTGTTTCCTTGTTTCACGTGGAAGCAGTTCTAGGTTCCTCTGTGGTGGCTGTGGCTGTTAAAAACCCTCCGGGGATTTTGAGTCATAATTTGATCTGCAAAGTGTGGTTTGTAGTATTCTAAAGGGAAGGATTGTTGTTGTTAGTGCCATCCAGTCGGTTGAGACTCATACTAACCCTGTATGGGGTTTCCAAGGAGCAGCTGGTGAGCTTGAACCGCCGACCTTGCAGTTCAAAGGATAGAGCATAATAATTTACATGGAGGGAAAAAAAAAGCAGCTTCAAGTATGCTGTGCTAGGCCCCAAGTTGAAACTGTCATAAAATAATGATCCTTGTTCTTGCCCTTAATTTTCCATTAAAATATGCTTATCAAAAATTTTTATATGCATGACTATTTACCTTTTATGCAAACATATCCATGTATGTGTTGGGAGCGTTTTTAAAATACCATTCAGTGGTTTACAACTCATTGCAACCCTGTACAGGGTTTCAGAGGAGTGATTGGTAGGTTTTAACTGCTGACTAGTGCTTATCCTGCAGCCGGACACCAGGAGTATACAGGAAGGAAATTTTGAAAACTTACTAGATGTTATCAAACAAAATGTGGGAATGACATGCTGGGCCTGGGGTGTTAGCACCATTGTCTTGGAGGCCAGTTGGCATAACATAGTCCACAAATATAGTGTTCTACAGCTTATTTTGGTGAGTAAGTAGCAACTGGGATCATGAATGGCCATCTAAGGTGCAAACTATTGGTATCTCCCTGTCCAGAGGATGATGAAAATTGAAGACACTTGTAAATAATTAACCTAATGGAGCATGTAAACATCAGTCTCTAGGACCTTGAGACCAGATTAGCTGGTTCCTGAATATCATACCAACTTCTTTGAAAGGAATCACTTTAGAAAGTCCTGTATAGAATGAGAGGAAAATATGGAACAAAACCCCAAATCATGAAAAAGACCAAGCATACTGGCCATACTGGTAGAACCCTAAGACTATGGCCCTTGACCACCCTTCAGGTCTGGATCTGAATTTACCCCCGTGACTCAATTTTTAGCCAAGCAATTGTTATGTGGGGAGGTGGGGTGGGAGAACAACACTAGTGTAGTATGTACACCATAGAATGGTCAACCATTCAAGATCAAAAGGGAAACAATTACCTAAGGACAAAATTCAGAAGGGTGGGGAAAGGAGGAATGGAAACAAGAAACCCAAGGAGGACGTGGAGTAAGTGATGGTACATTGAGGGGATTGCAATAGAGATGATGTGTTGAGTGTAAAACTGATGGTGTCCTATATAAACCTTCACTAGATTCACAATAAAGTTTTGTTTTGTTTTTTAATTAGAAATTTAAACAATAATTTACTCTTCATTGTTGTTGCTAAGTGTTGCGGAGGTGGTTCTAACTCATAGCGACCCTGTATAGGGTCTCAGAGGCTGTACATCTTTATGGGAGAAGAAAGCCTCATTCATCTTTCTTCCATAGAGTGGTTTGTAGGCTTCAACTGCCAGCCTTGTGGTTTACATATAGTCCAGTGGTTAGTTTACAAAGCTACTGAGATACCTCAGTTTTTAATAAAGCTCCAGAGGATAAATACTGAATTGTGAACCACAAGGTTGGTGATTTGAGCCCACCAGTAGCTCCGCTGTGAAAGATGGCTTTCTGCTCCCACAAAGACTTGGAAATCCTATACAGGGTTGCTGTGAGTCAGAACCAACTTGCCAGCACTTAACAACAACAGTTGTGAGGCAGGAACTGTAATAGACACTTGCATGCTTTTTCTCATTCAGCAAAAAAAGGTTCACTAAATACCCAGCATTTAAAACAAAAGGCTCATTCAAACTGTTGTAGTCAATTAAAGTAGCTATTTCTGCATATATTTTATTGTTATTCTTATTTGCCTGAGGTAATTTGCTATAGTGGAAAAATATTGGACGAGGAAGAACTCCGCAGATCTGAATTTAGACCTAGTTTAATGTACAATTTATTATCGTTAAGTGTCATTGAGTTGGTTCTGACTATAGTGACCTTGAGGCTATAAATCTTTCTTTCTCCCATGAATCAACTGGTGGGCTCCAACCTCTGACCTTGTGGTTCACAGTCCAGCTTATCCTACAGCACCACAATCATTCCCCACTGCACATTTTAGTGTGTACTTATATATACTGCTCCTGTATAATTTAAAGCAATTCTTTTATGAGTCAGTTTTCCTCATTTTTTCATTGAGATTAAGAACATTTGTCTTCTCAACCAAAGTAGAGTAGCTTTAATAACATGATAGATGTGAAAATGCTTTGAAAATAAAATATTCTTTCAAGTCCATCAGCGATGAAAGCAGATGATATTTTCCTCAGGCATTATTCATTCCAGCCCTTAAATCTTTGTCTTCCTTCTCTGTTGTCTTCTTTCCTTTTTGTTATCCAAATGCATTGTACTTCAAAACCTAATTTAAGGTCTCCATCCTTCACGGAGTCTTCCCTGACAACCTTAATTCACTAACCTATGTCTTTCTAAACATTTATAATATTTTAATATTAATATATTTATTTTCTTTTAAAAAAGAGTTCTGATTAGACGTAAGCAGAAACCTCTCTTTGTAGAGCTTTCAATAAAGCCCAGTGCCTTGGGTATACAACTTGTGCTGACCAGGGGACCCCATACTTGGTAGGCCCTACAAATGGCTTAAAGCTCTGCCATCACTGTCTTGAAATGTTTTTATTTATCTTAAACAAGGGACTTGCATTTCACTGGGCCATGCAAGTTGTGCAGCCAGTCCTTCTTCTAATGTATTACCTTAGAAGTCAGTGGTTCCCAAACTTCAAGCAAGCATCCACATCACTTGGAGGAGGGAAGCTCTCAATAAATAAATGAGCAAATCAACACAGGTAGTAATCATATTACAGGAAGAAAGCAAAAAGTCATTAAGAAGACAAGAAAGAAGAAAAAGATCAAATGAATGTCAGAAGAGACACTGAAACTTGCTCTCCAGCGTAGAGATGCTAAAGCAAATGGAAGAAATTAGGAGGTACAGGAGCTGAACAGAAAATTTCAAAGATCAGCTCGAGAAGATATAGCCAAATAATTCAAAAAATGTGCAAAGATCTGGGGTCAGAAAACCAAAAAAGGAAGAACACAATCAGCATTTCTCAAACTGGGGCAACTTTCATCATTGAAGGATTCTCTGGGCAAATTATTGAATGATGAAGAAAGCATCAAAAGAAGATGGAAGCAATACACAGAGTCACTGTACCAAAAGGAAATGGTTGGTGTTCAACTGTTTCAAGAGGTAGCATATGATCAAGAGCCAATGATACTGAAGGAGAAAGTCCAAGATGCATTGAAGGAATTGGCAAAGAACAAGGCACCAGGAATTGAAGGAATAAAAATTGAAATCTTTGAAGAAAGTGAGGCAGCACAGGAGGCACTCACTCATATATGCCAAGAAATTTGGAAGACAGCTATCTGGCCAACTGATTGGAAGAGATCTGTGTTTGTGCCCATTCTAAAGAAAGGTAGCCAATGGCCTGCAGAGCTCATCGGACAATATCTTTGATATCCCATGTGAGTAAAGTTTTACTAAAGGTAATACAGAAACAGCTGCAAGCATACATTGACAGAGAACTTCCAGAGGTTCAAGCCGGATTCAAAAGAGGCTGTGGAACGAGGGATATCACTGCTGATGTCTGATGGATCTTGGCTGACAGCAGAGAATATCAGGAAGATGTTTTTGTTGTTGTTTTTATGTGCTGTGGAGTCAGTTTCGACTCATAACGACCCTGTACAAGGTTTCCAAAGCTGTAAATCTTTATAGGAGCAGAAAGTCTCATCTTTCTTCTGCAGAACAGCTGGTAGTTTCGAACTGCTGACCTTGCAATTCGCAGTCCGATTCATAACCACTATGCTACCAGAGCTCCTTAGATGCTTATCTGTGCTTTATTAACTATGCAAAGGCTTTTGATTGTGTGGATCATGACAAGCTATGGACAACATTGCGAAGTATGAGTATTCCAGAACACTTCACTGTACTTCTGAGGAATCTGTACCTGGACCAAGAGGTCCAAACAGAACATGGGAACACTGAATCATTTAAAATTAAGAAAGGTGTGTGACAGGGTTGTATTCTTTCACCATATTTACTCAATTTGTATGCTGAGCAAATAATCCAACAAGCTGGGTTATATGAAGAAAAACATGACATCAGGATTGGCGGAAGACTCATTACCTGCAATATGCAGATGATACAACCTTGCTTGCTGAAAGTGAAGAAGACATAAAATATTTACTGCTGAAGATAAAAGAGCACAGCCTTTGGTATGGATTGCATCTCAATGTAAAGAAAACAAAAATCTTCACCACTGGACCAATAAACAACATTCTTATCAATGGAGAAAAGATTGTCAAGGACTTCATTCCTCTTGAATCAACTATCAACACTCATGGAAGCAGCAGTCAAGAAATCAAACGACATATTGCATTAGGCAAATCTGCTGTACAAGACCTTTTTAAAGTATTGGAGAGCAAAGATGTCAGCTTGAAGACTGAGATGCATCTTACCCAAGCCATGATATTTTCCATAACCTCATACGCATGTAAAAGCTGGACAGTGAATAAGGAAGGCCATAGAAGAATTGATGCTTTTCAATTATGGTGTTGGAAGAGAATATTGAAAGTGCCCCATGGGTTGCCAAAAGAACCAACAGATCTGTGTTGGAAGAAGTGCAGCCAGAGTGCTCCTTGGAGGCCAGGATGGCCAAACTTTGTCTCTCATGCTTTAGACATATTGTCAGGAGTGACCAGTCACTGGAGTAGGA